AGCCATCTACAAATAGAGATATTTCACAAAACAAAATTGTTTTGGACATTATATTTTCCTGGCGGCATTGGCTTAATAAGAGTACTGTCTTAGATCTCAATTTGCAATTAATTAGAGAATGCTTAAATTATCTGATTTCACAATTTGCTTTTGAATGAGAGTTACCTGTCAAAGTAAAATTCTGGATAAACCTTCAAGTATTACTACAAAGAAGGAACAGCAGATTTTTGTCTTCAAGTACGGATATGAAAAAAAAATTAGCTGCCTAATTTTCCACATACACAATTTCTAAATACCTCTCTCCATATAAAAGGCAAAGTCGTAACAGTAACACAATGATTATGCACCACAAATATCCATCCAAAACTAACCCATAATAAATAGGTCTCAATCAGGTACTATAATAGAAACTAGGTCTCAATCAGGTACTATAATAGAAACATGAAGTTTAAATGCATAACAGACAAAACACACTAGATTTCCCTCTGGCACTCAACTATCCAAACCCCATATAACATTACTCCCATACAACATACCTTACACTGATGGAACAAGTAACAGATATCAAAATAACTCTAACAAGAAAGACAAGTTCAAATTCAAGCTACTCAAATTTACCATCAGAGTCCAACACTCACAAACATTTTTTGTTACACTCCTTACCGCTATCAGGCATGAAACCCAGGCTCTCAAATTACTAGGTAGAAGTACATCTATTGTGTCCAAGTCTTTTGAGAAACGGTTAACAATACGGCCGATGGGTGTCATATCAAAGAACATCATAGGGCTGTGCATAACATTATCAAGTAACCTCTTGTGCATCAGCTTTGATGCCGCAACAGTCGCACCAGCAATTAACACAGATCCAAGGCATATGAAAATTGCTGTAAATTGTAAAAATAAATATGTCAAAATAATAACTAACAGTATCTGCTCATATTTTTTTATAAGCTGCATTAATCATCACTTATATCAAAGAGGATATATATCAATTCAGTATGTGATTACTTGATTAATTTACTTTAAATGACAAATAAATACTAGTTTGTAAAGCTCATATACATTGAAGACCTTCCTAAATCAGAATATAACGATATCTAAAAATAATTCACTGTGAAAAAATATGCAAAATCAATTGCATTATAAACTACTATCGTAAATATCTACTGCAGCCATATATTACTACATAAGTTTAGGAATTTCAAGTTGGAATATTTCACCAATCACAAACGCGTTCCATATTCAGATACTCTACCTTTTTCAAAGACACATGAAAACACAACTCAGCCAATGATTACCTTTGCATCATATCCATAAAATAATTTCACTATCAAAGCTGATGCATATACTATTCTTAATTTTATACCTTCTTGTCAAATTTCTTTTAAAAGTTTTTTTACCTTGAAGATTCTAGCACCCCAAATATTTGAAACTTTTAGATTTGCAATAAGCTTAGCTATATCTTAAGAAATGCACAGTAAGCAAGCTTTATATAAAGCTGATTGTTGCCATTTTTCAAAGGAAAACATTTTTCAGCTGAAACAAACTTGGATGGAATATTGGGTATTTCATACTATCCCTGCCATCCCTGAACATATAACATTATAAAAAATTGTGTAACATTTCAAAATGATCTACCTTCACATTTCACTTTGTGAAATCTTTTTTTTAATCTATTCTTTAAATTTTTAAACAACTAGCACATTTCAGCTGTGCATACATATTATTTTCAAGCAGTTTTCATCCTTGCAACCATCTATCTGTAATAGCAACACCTACACACCTCAAATGAATAAAATACTACTTAGGCCTTTATGGATAACAACATGCACATGCTAAATCGTATGTAACAACAGTATATCCCCATCCTTAATGAACTATAATCTTAATTAACCCACTCACAATGGAATTTTCTGGCGCAATACTGAGCCGTGTACATACAGTCATATGCTCTAGATAAAAATTAGCTGTGAAACACATTTACCCAAATTTCTACTCTACTGGCTGTGGCAAAACTGCTGCTTAGGTAATGAGGCTAAAAACAGGCTGTAAGCTAACTTTGCATTGGCTGTTTCTCTTTACTGACTGCAGCCAGGGATAAAAAAGCAATAAATATTTATCACAAACTCTTCTGAGCAGGCTGAGCCACACATGATGTGATAGAATGTCACCTTGGTGTGAGTGACATTTTAGTTACAATGTGATAGGACATTATCGGTCATGAGTGGGTTAAGTCAATGTATTGATGTTAAAGTTGGTTTACTCAGAGATCTTCTGTCTTTCCCCTACCACATATCAATGAGTGTCAGATCTCTGACAATAATATACTTCTCACAGAGTAGTAGTTAACTGCAAATGCATGCAAACTCTCTTGAAATAGTCACAAGAATGTATACCTTAAATCCAAGATGAAGTTCTTACCTTGTCCAATCCCAAGAGCACCATAAACACCTAGGTATTTGTCTCTTACAGCTGGATCCTGTCCTGTCTCATTTTGGAGTGCTGATTCAGACGACCACGCAGTCAGCCACACATTTGAGCCTACTGTGCATGCTTGGGAAAGGATATAAAACACCACAGTCATGCAAGTTGACATGATACCGATGGCCCTGATGTAGTAGCCATACACAGAAAGCTGGACCTGGAGACAGAAATGGGGTGGATATGCATTAAGACAATTATAACTTTTAGCCTGAGACTTAATCCTATCAACCCAATCACCCCAGATCTATGTACTGTCCCCTGTAGCTTTTTGTGCATTTTGTTGCATACAGATGGCTTCACATGCGCTCAGCCACCAAGGAATGCCTACCGATCGCACCTGAATTCCCCATTCCTTGAAATAGCAGGAAAATGTGTTTTCCCTACTAACACCATTCATGTTGATACTGTTATTATTCTTACTGATATCATGGCTATTTAATTGTTATCAAATTATTAATAACATTAAAGACAATAAAATAATATAAAATAAGCATTCCAAAAGTCAAGAAGAAGGTAAACAGGTGAGATGGGTAGGATTAACAACTAACTCCTTGGAGATCAAGTACTTGTAGAGCCAACTATGTGTAGCAACAATAAATGAACTTATAGAACTGTAGGCATGGCATGTATTCTTACCAATGGGATAACTGGATTAACAAACTGCCTCCCTGTTAGGATCATGGGAGTAACAATCAGGTAAATGTAGTTTTTGTCTCAGATGTGTCCTAGGTGGCTTCCTGCCTTATGCTAGAGTACTGGCTAAGAGAGTTGGTCCTATGACACTAATATTTATCTTTACAAATTCTGTCTCATTCTATAGGGGGAGAACCATCAACACCTTATGGGTTCATTATGAACCCTGGAGTCAATTCGGGGGAAAAACTTACAGCCAAAGGCTTTTCTTCTCTATCATCTTTCTTCAGGATAGAATTGATCCCAAATTTATAATTGCCAAACTATAAATGTTGGTTTGAAACCCATTATATTTTGCTATATCTATCTGCAAAGTTAATACTAAGCATAAACAAAACAAAACAAAAACATATATGGTAAAAAAGAAAAAAAAAGTTCATTGCTATCAAGTCATCAGTATAAAGTTCCATTACCTTGCCAGTTTCTGCCTTCTCTTTCTCAATAAGTTTCTGTCCAGCTTTAGCCTCCACTTGCTGAGGGGGAGCAATGGCTGGCTTGGTCTTTTCAGACTCGCTAATCTTTTTGCTTCTGTGACGGATACTGCCTCTGTGTTCCCCACTGTAAGGGAAAGTTTCTTTTCGTTAAACCTCCGAAAATATTGAACTGAGTACAATGTAATAATACAATATATATATATATATATATATATAATATATTATAATATATATATATATATATATATCAGCTCCTATGTATAAAAAGTTTAGCTCCTGATTCACATCCTTATCAGAAGTAGTATTTACATACATATAATATGTATCTAATATTAATTAAAATACTAATAATAATCAAAGTGCTAAACCATATAATACTGGAATGGAATGTATAATGTTGGATACATTTCTAGCTGATACTTGGATATTCATCTTACATTCCATCATGTCCTATGCTTTCGCTCTCACTCTCGCGCTTTGTACGAGATATCTGCCGCTGTAAACGCTCCTTGCCAAGTGTGCTCTCCAACTGCATCTTAATGTCCTCCAATTCTGGAAAATAATGAAATATAAATCAAATTTATTCCTTATGATTGGCAAGAAGAGGTAGAATTAATAGATGTACAATGAACTACCTTCCAAGATGCGAATTCTCATAGTGCAGGCCTCCTTAATATAACACTTTGTAAGCAGGTATACGTAATGTGCACAGGGAATTTTGTCTGGCACAGGCGGCTTGAAAAGTGGTCAGCTACAAAGGAGTCAATCGGTATGATGTCCTTTGATTTCCCTGGTCCTTGAATTTTCAGGAAAAACATTTTCTAATTGATACTGTTATCATTATGATTATTACCATGTTATCCAAATTCGAACAGCAATAAAAAATAAAAAGGAATCTTTCTGAAAACCAAGGAAAAGGGTAAACAGGTGAGACAAATAGAACTAGGAATTGACTCTTTAATGTCAAAGTACTTGTAGAGCCATCTATATGTAAGCATAATCAATAAATTAAAATCAGTGGATATGGCATATCTGTCATGCCATCCCAGCACAAAGGGTTGTCAAGTAATTTTTTTATTCTCAGCTTGATAATACAGTATATTATTATGTTCTCTGCAGTGCAACTCTAAAACCGAAAGAAAAACATCTAACAATCATAATCAAGCAAATCATATTTTCTGTCTTTTCCTATGTAACTCACCTTCCAGGTCTTCCTCATCCTCATTTTCTTCTGCCAAATACTGCAGCAGAAATTCTTGGAATTCTCCTTTCTTTTCAATCAACTCCTTATATGAACCTTGCTCTGTGATTGTACCATTCTTGAGCACAACAATTTTCTCAACTTTTGGTAAGTATGTTAGGCCATGGGTCACCAAAATGCGAGTCTGT